GGATCGTGTAGGATAATGTTGGATAATGTAGGATAGAGTAGGAGAGTGTAGAATAGTGTAGGGTCGTGTAAGATAATTTAAGACAGTGTAGGAGAGTGTAAAATTGTGTAGGGTCGTGTGTAATAGTATAAAATAGTGTAGATTAGTGTAGGGTGATGCTGGATAATGTTGGATAATGTAGGATAGAGTAGAAAAGTATAGACTAGTGTAGGAATAATGTAGAATAGAGTAGAGTCTTGTAGGATAGTATAGGATTGTGTAGGATAGTGTAGAATACTGTAGGATCGTGCAGGATAATTTTGGATAATGTAGGATAGTGTAGGAGAGTGTAGAGTAGTGTAGGGTCGTGTTGGATAATGTAGGATAGTTTGGGAATGTGTAAAATAGTGTAGAGTCGTCTAGGATAATGTTGCATATTGTAGGAAAGTGTATAAGAGTGTAGAATAGTGTAGGGTCGTGTATAATAGTGTAAAATAGTGTAGGGTTATGCAGGATAATGTTAATTAATGTAGGATAGTGTAGGGGAGTGTAGAATAGTGTAGAATCGTGTAAGGATAATGTTGGACAATGTAGGATAATGTAGGATAGTCTAGGAGAGTGTAAAATAGTGTAGAGTCGTTCAGGAAAATGTTGCATAATGTAGGAAAGTGTAGAAAAGTTAAGAATAGTGTAGGCTCGTGTATAATAATGTAGGGTGGTGTATAATAGTATAGAATAGTGTAGATTAGTGGAGGGTCGTGTAGGATAGAGTAGGAAAGTATGGACTATAGTGTAGGAATAATGTAGAATAGTGTTGGGTAGTGTTGAATAGTGCAGGTTCGGCACTTTTAATGAAAATACCAATATTGCATAATTATAAAAAATAAAAAGCGTAAAAATAAATTCTTCCTTTGAATCCAAACGATCTACTTTCGTTAATAAATTAGCGTATCTATCTGGAGTACAAAATTGCCATCTATACACGCGTCCGGTGTGATTTGCAGAGAGAAATCCCGGATTTTTTTTTTATATTCTTTCGCATCGTTTCCTCGCTCCTCCTTATGCCTCTCGCACAATTTCGGATATTGGCAATCAGTTAAAAAGTGGCGCGCGTCAGGCATTAGCCGAATCGGGCGCGAGATCAAAGATCAAACGGTTTTTTTTTTCTCGCCGGTCAATCGGTCGCGAATGCAAAGACGTCGACAGTCAAAAGAGGCTCTCATTTGAATCCGGATCCATCGATGAAAGCGGCGCTCCGTTCTTTGACTTCTTGGATAAATTCCTCTCTATCTCTCTCCGAAGAATCAGTCCGATTAGTATCGGATTTTTCGCGTATATACAACGTGCATGTATTAATGTCGAGGCTCGGGACGGGTGGGGAAAATTAAATGCGAAAGTGTCGGGCGCAGTCGATCCGGATCTAATTCGCGTCGTTTGTATTATTTTTTTTCTCTCCTCCTTTTTAATTCGGATTCGGGGGGAGATTTTCCGAGGGTTAATCGGAAACGTCCCGTCGTCGCGGGGTCTCGTTGAATTATCGGTTTATTATGACGAGAAATTGCGGAATTGTTCGATTTAAAATCGAGCGAGCTCCCCGTAGAATGATGAATGGTAAAAATATTATTCATAATCCGTTCGCTATCAAGTGGCAATGGAATGTTGGTACTTTTATAGTCGGTTCGCTATCAGAAGATAGTTTACAAGAAGTGTACAAGATAGTGTACAAAATAGTGCACAAGACTAGAAAAATTGCAGTATTTCTCTTATTAAGTCAAAATCTTTAGTTCGAAGCATTCTAAATGGTCATAAATGGTTCTAGACAGTTCTAAATGGTTCTGGAGCGTTATAAATGACTATGGAACGTTATAATTTATAACTTATAAATGGTTCTAGACTGTTCGAAAAGATTCTGGATCATTCCGAATGGTTATGGTGCCTTCTAAATGAATATGGAGCGTTATAAATGGTTCTGAAGCGTTCTAAATGGTTCTAGATAGTTCTAAATGAATCCAGGCCGAGAATTTTTGACTGTACCCTCGTATTATTTGTATTTCTATAGGTATTCCATTACTTATCAAGAGCTTCTTTATACCTACTTGAATATTGCTTCTTCATTTTACAAGTCCTCTAACAAACCTTTTTCAAGTACCTACTAAATGCAATTTATGCCCTAATTTAAATTTCTGTACATTTTCTACATTTCCATTGACAATACCCCTAATTATAACTTATATTATCTAATTATCTAATTTCCTGGTCTATTAAGCATCACAGTGCTCGATGCCTCTATAATTTCGGTTAATTTTTACAGCTCAAACCGGCAATCTAGATCCCTCCGAATGCTCCAACGGGCCTCTTATACCTTTCGCTCTAAATTAGCACCTCGCGGAAACCGAATTTCTCGGTGCAAGGGAGGCGGCCGCCGCGATATTTAGCCGTCTCCTTGAAGAAAAAGGGTTTAGGTAGCGCGCGAACGCCCTCGCCGCCCCTCAGCGGCCGCCTCCCGCGGGCCGCGTTGCGCTAATTAACGCGAGAACCGGGGGTGGGAGCGGCTATTTGCACCGCGGATCTACTCGCATTAAGACGGGATATTGTAGCGATAAATCAAAGAAAAAAAAAACGCGAAAGGGGTAGAAGACAGCGAACGCCGCCCCCGATCGCCGCCCGTGCCGCTCCCGCCCGTACACCGCAGCGCGGCGAGCGGCCGCCCGCTTAACTTCAATGCAAGATTTAATTAAATCCGAGTCTTGATTTATTGTCGCTTGAGCCTCGGTGCCGCCGCCGCCGCCGCCGCCGCCCGCTACGTCCCCCGATTCCGCTGCTTTTGTACGGCGGGACAGGGCCGTGCGCCGCCGCCCCCCCCCGAGTGGCCGGTGATAGCGAAAATAGCGGACGTCTTAGTTACGCGAGCGGCGGCGGGCGGGCGGGGGGCGGGCGCGAAATAAGGCAGACGCTCGACTAGTCACGTGACCGTTTGCGGGCGGCTCGCATTGCCCAAATCTCCGCATCGGCACGATTCGCCTCACCCCATTAGCGACTAGGATAAGTCTACAAAAAAAAACCGCCCCCGGACATATCACTAAAATCCAACATTAGATAGTTGTACAATTTTTTGCGAAAATCCGGAGGTGTACGAAACATTGTACAACGCGGCAACGTCGCTGCATTTCATCGTCGCCTTGTTAACGCACTATACAGGGTGTCCCATGACGAGTTAAAACTATCTGTTAGAATTTGGTATACATAAAATTAAAATGAAATTAAAAATATTTTGACAGGCATCAAGGCATCAACTTTGTTAAAATGGAACACCCTGTGTATTAATATATTTTCGAAATCTACGGGTATTTTTGTCTAAAACACTTTTTTCAAAAATGCATACTTTTTGAGTTAATCTTTTTTTTTGAAAAATTTTACCAATGCAGACCCTTACAAATTATTTTTTTACGAGCATCCCCTTAAAGATATGGAAACGGTTCCTGTAGAGAGGCTACTAGAAAGGTCAAAGGTATTTGATCCTCTATTGAAAAACTTTTTATTTTATACAGGTTGTCCCACCACAATTTTTTTTCTGCTTCCTTATCATATCCAATTAGCTCGTCCCCGGGGGCGGTGTACGCTACCGCGTGTATGTCTAACGTGTAACCGGATACACGCACGGGCGGGGGAGGGGGGCGGTCGCGGGGGTTGGTTTTTAATTAAGGAGCCCGGACCGGGAGCGCTAAGAATTCCGGGCATACCGGACCCGGTTTTAATTGCGCTACAATTGCGGCGGTCCCGTCTCAGCGCGCGGAGGCGGCTAGTAGAAGGGACGACGAGAATGACAGTGTTCGCGGGACATTCTTTATGCATGACCGTATGCCGAAGGAATCGATGTGGCTCGGTACTCTTACGGGGGAAGATACTTAAAGTTAGCCCAACTACTTTAGCACAATTTATTTGTACTATGATATTTTGCACATAATTATGACATTAGTTTGATTCAAATATCTTAATAGAAAAAAATTTATGAATGCATAAAAATTGCAGATAGTGCACAAAAATTGACACATAATTTTGACATTAGTTTGATTCAAATATTTCAATAAATAAAATAGTTGTGCTAGCCTAATGTAAAGCTGACACAACTTTTATAACAAAATAACAAAAAAAAAATTAGGAATGCACAAAAATTGAGGATTGTGCACAAAAATTGCACATAATTATGACATTACTTTGATTCATATATTTTAATAGAAAAACATTTTTAATGCACAAAAATCGGCACAAAAATTGCACATAATTTGCACATAATTATATAGACATAGTACAAATAAATTGCGGTAAAGAAGTTGTTTTAACTTTATGTACCTTATACGGTGGAGTTTTTCGATGAAAATCGACGAAATTCGTTGAATGTATGCGGAAGGAATCGATATCGAATTAGGTTCTAAATAATTATCATTAAATCCGGCGATAACGAAAGGGCCTTGATTTAAAATAGATCCAATTTAGCGGGTGTATTCTGAGAGTTCCCCCGCTGGAAAATGTAATATTCAGCATCGGAGGTTTGCACCGGGGCCGACTTGATATCTGGGCGTCTCGGGGGAAACACAAATATGCAATATTGCCAACATAAATTGATTCTAGATACGATCCCCGGCCTCCTCATTTAACAACGCGTTTCCAAAATATGGGGGACGCCGACTTATTATTTACCACCTCGGATTCGATATTATACACCTACCATCGAGTGGATGTTGTTCACCCCCGATTGCCGAGATATTTCCCCGTGTATTCATCCCCCTTTCGAGATCCTCTCCTGCGCTTTTGTGTGCATATATAGCTAATACATATTTTAATGTTTGTTTTCTTATCGCTAAAAATTCAATTACTATTATTTATTTACGTATCGAATGGCTTGTTTGTAAATATAACCACATCCTTGTTTATAGAATATTTATCTTGTAATTTTCGTTGTGTGTATTAAAACAAAAAAAAAAAGGATTATTTCAATCGGTTTAGCATACTTATCTAGTGACCTTGTCTCCAGTGTGTTGCTCAAACATTGACTGTGGAAAACGGGGAATTACAGTCTATATTGTTTAATTAATATAAACGGAGAGATTCGGAAAAAAACATTCAGAAATGCATATAAACATGAGCCGGCATGTGATCGTGTTGTTTTTGGCGGTATTCGGGTGGCATTTAAGTGAAATTAAATGTAAGTACAATAGGTTATAGAATAATTGTAAAAGTGACTTCAATTAAATTAGATTCCAATGTACTTGCAATTGAATCGAAATATTATTAACCCGATTTTGTCCAGAACGTTCTGATAATTTTGGCCACATTTTGATGTCCCATTTTTACCACATTTCAGTCTTCAGTTAGATCTAATTTGACCACATTTAAGTCCACAAGGTCTCCCACATGGCCACAAATTTGAACACTTTCGGTCAAATTGACCACATTTAAAGCTACAATTTGATTACATTTATAACACTTTTAACCCAATAATTCACCACTTTTAGTCCCCAATTTGAAACGTTTAAGGGTTCAATTTGACCACATTTAAGCCTCCAATTTGAGCACATTATTGACTAGAAATATAAGCACCCAAATTCACCACTTTTAGTCCACAATTTGACCACATTTAAGCCTCCAATTTGACCACATACAAGGCTTCAATTTGACTAAATTTAAACCCTTTAAAGTTGATTTAGATTTTAGACTCAGACTTGACGACTTATAGCCTCCAATTTGACCACATGCAGACCTAAAATTGAGCACATTTAAACCCCTAAGTTGTCTCCCAAATTCACTACTTTCAGTTCTCCAATTTCACCTCATTTCAGCCCCCAATTTGATCACATTTAGCCCCAAAGTTAACCACATTTATGCGTCCAATTTCACCACTTTTAACCCCCAACATAACCACAATAACCACAAGTACCTACCACCTTTCAGGCGACGATGACTGCCCCACCATATACTCCAGAAGCGATTGGAACGCCACCCCTCCGACGGACAGCAAACCACTCTCCATCATACCGCCCCCCTACGTGGTGGTTCACCACTCTGCAACCGCCTCCTGCAAAAACCACCAGGATTGCAGAACTTTGGTGAAATCCATACAAAATTACCACATGCAAGACGAAGGCTGGTGCGATATCGGATACAATTTTTTGGTGAACCTCTCGATGTTTTAATTTATTACTTATATTAAATTATGTTTTTTTGGTGTATAGATTGGAGGAGATGGGGGTATTTACGAGGGTAGAGGTTGGGGTATACACGGGGCGCACGTGGTGAAATACAACGCTAGGAGTATAGGGATTTGTTTGTTGGGGAATTACCAAGGTAAATTCTCTCTACTTTTAACTTGAAAATCTTATTATGTTTCGATTTTAGTTGAACCTCCGCCGGATAGGCAAGTGCAGGCGCTGCAGGATTTGATCAAATGCGGTACTCAAACAGGCAATATACAGGGGAAGTATCATTTGATAGGACACAGACAGGGAAGCGCCACTCTTTGTCCAGGCGATTATCTCTACAAATTGGTGGAAAACATGACGAACTTCGATCCCGATCCGCAATGAAGAAACGAATAAAACAAATATATATCTATATAGCGCGCGTCTCGCGAAAATATAATCCATTTCCCATTTTTGCTCATTTATTATTAGCGGAGCCGAGCGAAGAGCATTTTTACATTAGCGAGAAAGCCAAGCTGAATATGTAATCAGTCCGCCCGGTTGAGTGAAGCCAAAATCAAAAGAAGTGCCTATTTAAATAAACATGAGATGCTCCTCTCGACGGATAATTTACTTCTTTTTTTTTCCACTTCGCAGAAAACAACCCGAAAAAGGCGAGCCGAGGCGATTCCTTTTTTTTCTCTCCTCCATCTTCTCTCCTCCTTTACATTTTCTTATGAGTTATTGATCAGGGTTTCGGGTCATTACGCAACAATGGGACGACACTCGAGCGCATTTAATGCATGCAAAAACCCCCGGCCGAATTTCTATTTTTCTCCTGCCGCGGAGAAAGTGAACTGGTTCCTGCTGTATATATACAAGCGCTAATAGGACGTCGCGATGAAAAATCAATAACCCCAATCGGGTCGCTTTCGACGCTCCTCAAGGACGCCCGTTCGTCGGGCGATCTTAATTTTCCTGCGACCAATTCGGAAGGGCCCCCAATAAAAATCTAATAATCGACCACATGCGTAAACCGCAGGAATCCGCGACCAATGGCGGGAAGAAATCTAACCGCAACCACGCCCTGTTTAACCGCAAACCAACCACGACGTAAGGTGACGTACCGACGTCGATAATTCGGCGTCGCGGCGCCTCTTATATCCCGGCACCTTTCGCACCGACGTTGGTTTGTTTACAACAATCGTTTTTGGTTTTTTTTTTATAAACAAATTCTCACTCACTAATCCTCGTTAGTAAACGCTTATAAGCACACGCAATGCATAAGAAATAAATCGAGGTATAGGTGAAGGGGTAGAATTTTTGCGCGAGGGGTGTAATTTTAATTTTTTTTTTTTTTAATATTTCGTGCAATTTTTTTTTTAATATCGGCAAGTAGCGTGGCGCGCTCTGTGGAGGAAGGGACGAAGTTTCCGTAAGAATTTTCCGAGGAGCCGAGGGCGAAAGAAAAGCGTCTTGAGAGGGTGTTTTTAGCCCGGCGAAAAGGTCGAGGTAAGGCCGGCACTCGGGGGGAAAAAGTGGAACTCCGCGAATGTACGGGGAGCCCTCGCGTGGAAGATGACCCGTTGGATGAGGGTATCGAAATCGCGTTTGTAATGTTGCTAATAAAGGATCTATTGAATGATTGAATGATATTGGAGCGCTTGATAATGTGGTGGAGGATTCGTTAAAATTGCGATGCTAGTTAATTTTTGGTAGAAGATTCATTAAAATTGAAATGCTATTCAAAATATGGTAGGGGACTCATTAACATTGCAATACTATTCAAAATATGGTAGAAGATTCATTAAAACAGCAATGCTTTTTAAAATTTGGTAGGTATAGGATTCATTACAATCGTAATAATATTCAAAATATGGTAGAAGATTCATTAAAACTGCAATGCAATTCCAAATTTATTAGAGAACTTATTAAAATTGCAATGTTATTCAACATATGGTAGAAGATTCATTAAAACTGCAATGCAATTCAAAATTGAGTAGAGAATTTATTAAAATTGCAATGCTATTCAAAATTTGGTAAAGAATTTATTAAAATTTCACTGTTATTTAAAATATGGTAGAAGATTCATTAAAACTGCAATGTTATTCAAAATATAGTAGAATATTTATTAAAACTGCAATGCAACTCAAAATTTGGTAGAGAATTTATTAAAATTGCAATGTTATTCAAAATATGGTAGAAGATTTATTAAAACTGCAATGCAATTCAAAATATGGTAGAAGATTCATTAAAACTGCAATGCAATTCAAAATTGAGTAGAGAATTTATTAAAATTGCAATGTTATTCAAAATATGGTAGAAGATTCATTAAAACTGCAATGTTATTCAAAATATAGTAGAATATTTATTAAAACTGCAATGCAACTCAAAATTTGGTAGAGAATTTATTAAAATTGCAATGTTATTCAAAATATGGTAGAAGATTCATTAAAACTGCAATGCAATTCAAAATTTATAAGAGAATTTATTAAAATTGCAATTTTATTCAAAATATGGTAGAAGATTCATTAAAACTGCAATGCAATTCAAAATTGAGTAGAGAATTTATTAAAATTGCAATGTTATTCAAAATATGGTAGAAGATTCATTAAAACTGCAATGTTATTCAAAATATAGTAGAATATTTATTAAAACTGCAATGCAACTCAAAATTTGGTAGAGAATTTATTAAAATTGCAATGTTATTCAAAATATGGTAGAAGATTTATTAAAACTGCAATGCAATTCAAAATTTGGTAGAAGATTCATTAAAACTGCAATTCAATTCAAAATTAATTAGAGAATTTATTAAAATTGCAATGTTATTCAAAATATGGTAGAAGATTTATTAAAACTGCAATGCAATTCAAAATAATTAGAGAATTTATTAAAATTTGCAATGTTATTCAAAATATGGTAGAAGATTCATTAAAACTGCAATGCATTTCAAAAATTGGTAGAAGATTCATTAAAACTGCAATGCAATTTAAAATTTGGTAGAAAATTAATTAAAATTGCAATGCTATTCAAAATATGGTAGGGGACTCATTAAAATTGCAATGCTATTCAAAATTTGGTAGAGAATTTATTAAAATTGCAATGCTATTCAAATTTTGGTAGAGGATTCATTTAAATTACAATTTTGGTTCATCCAAGCAAGTATTCCACAAAACTCAAATGACAGAAATATACGGAACGAACCCCGTACAAACCTCGAATCCTCAGCCAACTGCGAGCCGGCCGAGAACGAACGAACGAAAAAAGAAAAACCACCAACAAGGAGCAACAACTCTAGAGAAAATCGATACCGGCCTCGAAGGCGCCCGAAGCGGACGAGCTCTCTCGCTCGAGCCGCTCGAAGATTTTCCGGCGACACTTTTCCCCGCTCTCGCGCCTTTCTTACAGCTAAAAGCTGTAAGAAAATCGCGGAAAGTTTCGGATTTAGGCGAGAGAACGCGCTGGCGCGCCCTCCGCCGGCGAATTTTCTGCCATTTTGCGGTTTCTTTGAAAATTTCCCGGAGCGTTTGAAGGCGTTTTCCGGCCATTTGACGCGCCTTTTGCGACGGGAAAAGCGCCGCTTCGAGTGTTTTAACTATCGGAATTCTCGCTCCGGGGAATTTCCGATAATCTTATTACATGTAGCACATCATAAAATGCTCGAATAATTACCCTAACTCTACTACAAGCTAACACACTACATTCAAAATTAAATCAACTACAATGAAAAGATCCCAATTATAATAATTATAGAAATATTCTGCACCAAAAACCGAAACATCATCCCTTTTACGGGGGATGTAGGGTGGAGGAGAGGATGCGAAATCACTCCCTATTTGTTCTCGCGTTCGCCCGGGTGAGTAAAGTTATTGAAATTGTGTTTTCGTTGATTTTACATGTTCCGAAAAGGAAAGGAAGCGCGAATTAATTTCCAGAACAAGACGGTAATTAAATTTCGTTGGGCGAATATTGCGTTAGTCGCATGACGAAATTTTAGTCGTGGCGATACAGCGGGGAAAAACCGCAAATTAAAATTACTGCGAACGAGATTTTTCCCCGGAATATGCAACGATTTCACGACCCGGCAACGCCGGTTTTTTGTGTTGTATTATTTTTCCCTAGAATGCATTATAATTTCCCAAAGCGGCAACGCCGCTTCGGCGACTAAATAGGATTATTTTACACCAAATTTTCGGTTAGTAATTCTTCCGACCGGCAGGAATTTACTGTCATTTTCCGGCTCTTTAAAAGTTTTCACCCGACAAAAGTTGTCGGTTCGACATCCAGGGGAAAGCTCTCTCTAGGTGGTACGTTCGAGTGTTTCCGTTTTTATCCGCTCCCCGGAATGGCTCTCGGACGAAAAGGGAAACATTCTCGACATTTTCCCGCGAATTATTTCAAGTATTCGACCGACACGCAAACTAATCGGCCATATTTTCCGCGGCGGTGTATCGTTTCGAGTGCTTTTTCTTTCGTTTCCAGCCGGGATATTTTCCGGAGTATTCCGGGGGTATTTCGTTTTTCCTGCAAATCGTGACGTCGTACGAGTATTTTTTATGTCTCCGCAGGACTTGTGCAGGTCCTTGCGTTGATAGTTACTGGTTTTTTTTATCTATGGTTTATTAGTTATTAGAATTGCAATTGGAAATATGGTGGAGGATTTATTAAATTCGCAATGCTATTCAAAATATGGTAGAAGATTCATTAAAACTGCAATGCAATTCAAAATTGAGTAGATGATTTATTAAAAGTGCAAGGCTATTTAAAATATGGTAGAGGATTCATTAAAATTGCAACGTTATTTTGAAAATATGGTGGATTCATTAAAATTTTAATTCTATTGAAAATATGTTAGAGGATTCATTAAAATTGCAAGGCTATTTAAAATATGGTAGAAGATTCATTAAAACTGCAATGCATTTCAAAATTTGGTAGAAAATTCATTAAAACTGCAATGCAATTAAAAATTTGGTAGAGAATTTATTAAAATTGCAATGTTATTTAAAATATGGTAGAGGATTCATTAAAATTTTAGTTCTAGTGAAAATATGTTAGAGGATTCATTAAAATTGCAATGCTATTTTAAAAATATGGTGGAAGGTTCATTAAAATTTTAATTCTATTGAAAATATGTTAGAGGATTCATTTAAATTGCAATGCAATTTAAAATATGATCAAGGATTCATTGTAATTTTAATTCTATTGAAAATATGGTAGAGGATTGATTAAAATTTCAATGCTATTTAAAATTTGGTAGAGGATTTATTAAAATTTTAATTCTATTGAAAATATTCTAGAGGATTCATTAAAATTTCAATGCTATCTAAAATTTGGTAGAGGATTTATTAAAATTTTAATTTTATTGAAAATATTCTAGAGGATTCATTAAAATTTTAATTTTATTGAAAATATGGTAGAGGATTCATTAAAATTTCAATGCTATTTAAAATTTGGTAGAGGATTTATTAAAATTGTAATTCTATTGAAAATATGTTAGAGGATTGAGTAAAATTTCAATGCTATTTAAAATTTGGTAGAGGATTTATTAAAATTTTAATTCTATTGAAAATATGGTAGAGAATTCATTAAAATTTCAATGCTATTTAAAATTTGGTAGAGGATTTATTAAAATTTTAATTCTATTGAAAATATGGTAGAGGATTCAATAAAACTTTGATTCTATTTAAAATATGCTAGAGGACTCGTTAAAATCGCAATGCTATTGAAAACATGGTTTATAAATTCCAAAATGCAGGCTAGTTTAAAAATAGAATTACCCCATAACTTTAAGGAAACACTCCCGCATTCAATCCTACTATATTATACCAAATTCAAGCGCGGGGGTACTTAAATATGATCACCTTATTTGTAACAATGTAAGTTAATAATTGGGTACAAAACTATTATACAGTTTATAATCCCCGAAGTTTAACCGGGGGCGCTGAAAGGGCGAGCACCCCACGCAAGTATTATATCTTCTCGGTTTTCTTGCTCCATTGTAAACACAACGTCATATATACGTATATATATATAACGGGCAAAGTGGCCCCTTGAGCTGAGAAACTCCGAAACTTATGACAACTAAGTCATGCATTCCCCAAAGGAAACTTAATAACTCCATACGAAGATTAACACGTAAACGAGAGTGTACACGAAAAGGGGTTATAGTAGAGTAAATGCTCCAAATATGGAACGGTCCATTTTAAGAAGAATGTTCTTTATATCGAGTAAATGATCATTACACAATAAGCATCATTCCTCCTTTGACCCATCTTCCAATTTTGGAAGTTTTTTTATCCAAAAAAAATACTATTTTATGTGAAAGTGGATAAGACCACGAGGATAATAGGATAATAGGAGGATAATATTCCAATTTTCTAATATTCCAATTTTCCAAGTATCACAATATGGACCAGTGGCACAGTGGTTTTAAATATGGAGTGGCTAAAAATTAATTTTTATATTCTATAGAATGGTTTTTCTAAAGCAATAGAGAAGACCAGACAAACATGGAATAAAAAACGCAATGACGGAGAATTAAAAATGCACTGGAAAGGAAAATGGGCTTTCTAAATGCTTCCAAAATATACACCCAAAACAAATCTCTTAATGATATTGCCATCCAAAAAATTGGGAGAAAATTAACATTACCGAGTGAATTGGAAGACGAATTAGTCAATTATATACTTGAAATAGAAAAATCTGGATGTGGTCCATATTATGTTCACTTTCAGAAAGTTCATAAAACTGATATACTTTAGTAAATGTTTTTTATTTCAAAGATTCCGTTTTTTGCAGAATTTTATTATGAGTTTTTCTTAACAAAATGGTTAAGGAATAGTTTAATATAAATAAAGCTGATTAAAATTTAAAAATCTTAGAAAAGAATACTTATGGTGGTCCATATATGACGCCACTTTCACTAAATAAAAATCCGCTTAATTCACCCAATTTTTTTCCTCTAATACACCATCGCGACAGAGGAATTTAATTTTTAGGCGAACGCCATCAGAGAGAGGGATAATTCACGATTCGCCCCCCTTTTCGGTACACCTGCCACCGCTAATTAGTAGGCTATAATGGCCATCCGAATGTCGATTAAACCTAATATACTGGCGCAGCGGACGCGACGTGTACACGTAATATTCCCTGTTGTGTGTACGAGCGCGTGTACACGCCCGCCAGGATTTTCCGAACCCCTTTGAATATTGCATTAGCCGAGGTGGGTTCCCTTAAAAACGATTTATTAACCGTGATGTTACGGGAGCCGGGTGTATTGATATAGGTACATTCCGGCGAATGCGTGTTTGCTATTACATTACGGGATGTTTTTGTATATACGGGGTGTCTGAAAATTAACGGGCGTTCTTGCAGAGTTATGATATTCGCGGAAGATTCAGAGTAGATTCTAATAAGATACAGAGTAGATTCTAAGAAGATTCAGAGTAGATTCTAAGAAGATTCAGAGTAGATTCTAATATGATACAGAGTAGATTTTCATTGTAGGTAGATTTAGAGTAGATTCAGAGTAGATTCTAAGAAGGTTCAGAGTAGATTTTTATTGTAGGTAGATTTAGAGTAGGTTATAAGAAGAATCAGAGTAGATTTAGAGTAGATTTTGTGTAGATTCAGAGTGGGTTCAGAGTTGTAGATTTAGAATAGATTCATACTAGGTAGATTTACAGTAGATTCAGAGAACTACATTCAGTGTATATTCGAGTCAATTTAAAGTTGATTAAGAGTAGATTTAGAGTAGATTCAGAGTTACTTCAGAGTTTCAGAGTATATTCGGAGTATATTTAGAGTAGATTCAGAGCACTTGATTTAGAGTACCTATATTCTAAGTCAATTCAGAGTAGATCCAGAGTAGATTCTTAGTAGATTCTGAGTATATTTAGAGTAGATTCAGAGCACTACATTCAGTGTATATTCGAGTCAATTTAGAGTCAATTAAGAGTAGATTTAGAGTAGATTCAGAGTAACTTTAGAATTGTAGATTCAGAGCACTTGATTTAGAGTATATTCTAAGTCAATTCAAAGTAGATTTAGAGTAGATTTAGAGTATATTTAGAGTAGATTCAGAGCACTTGATTTAGAGTATATTTTAAGTCAATTCAGAGTAGATTCAGAGTAGATTCATTATAGATTCAGAGTATATTTAGAGTAGATTCAGAGCAATTGATTTAAAGTATATTCGAAGTCAATTCACAGACGATTCAGAGTAGATTCAAAGTAGGTTCAGAGTAGATTCAGAGTATAGTATAATAGCAAAATGTTTACTCTTTCAATTACATTTTAAAGACTTTTCAATTAAATTTTGAGACACCCTGTATTTCTAGAAATATTCTCATGTTGTTCCGTTTCTCGAAGATGCTCAAAAATTTCAGATTATCCGATGTTTTTAGAAATCACTAACTAACATTTTTTTGTAATTTTTCTATCATTTCTTAACCAACTTTTGAATAAACAAGTCAAATTAATAATCCAACCTTCTTGAGAGGATTCTCGAATAAAATTATTCAAAAACTAAATTTCAAACCGACAAAATTCCCGCCTCAACAAAACCGAATCACGATCGAGGTACTAAAATACAAAAATAAGAAATTTAAACTTGCAACATTTTTTGCGATATTTTATTTAATTTTTATCCGTATCGTCGTTGTAATGTTTACAATATCTCAACAAAAATATTATACTTACATGATAATAACAATAAATAATGATTTTTTTACATGTTCGATTAACCCTACGATGGAAAAGCGTATGTTACAAGACGCCCAAAAAAATACAGTCACTGCATCATCATCAGCATCGCGAATTTAACTGCGGGACAGAGGAGAATTGTTAATTTTAACCGGCCTAAAAAAAATCGTGACTCTACTTTTTCAAACTAATACACGTTATTTTTTTTTTGTGGTTATGTACAAAATATTAACACAAATTATATACGGGGTGCGTCGCGGAAATTAAAGAGTTTTATTCCGTCGTCGTGACGCGCCCTCTGTACACGAAACTAAACAAATTATACAGGGCGAGTCGTGTACATTCTACACTCAAAAATGTTTTGTTGAAATGCCACTGCCCATTTATGCTTTTTGTTAAATTGTTTTTATTGTTAATTTTAAATGATTGTTTACGCTTTTTGGAAACTAATTTTGATGAGTAATTTAACGAACAATTCGTTGTATTAAATGTTTATACTTTTAAGCAAAACGTTTTTGAGAGTGTATATACAGGGTGGTCCGTAAGTAATGGTCCAAAAGTGAAGGGGCTTCAAAATATTACCATCTGATCCAACTTGCTTTAGTAAAATATTGAAACTAAAAAAGATGCAGAGTGTCAAAGTTGTAATCAAAAAAAAATATTTTTCGCATCAGTTTGAAAGATTTTGAATGTACAGGGTGGCCAAATAAGGATGGCTCTCGGCCATATCTGGCAAACTAATTGTCATAGAGACTTGCGGTAAAAAATCTTATGACTAAATCGGCAAAAAGAAAATGCTGGAAATAATTTTCAGGTCTCTAAAATGGCCGCTAGGGGGAGTATCCGCCATCTCGATTTTAGAAAGTCATTTTTTTCAAAATTTTCCAAAATAAAGGTATCAAAAATGTGTTTTATTTTGTTAGTTAAGTTAATTTCGATTATTTTTTGTAATATATTTTTGACTCTATCTTTTAAAATAAAGTGGTGGGGGTGGTTTGAATATTTTGACAAATAAATGTTAATAACTTTTAAATGGTTGAACCGATTTTCAAAAAAATGAAATTGTTGAAAAGGGCTTTCTTTGGTCTATAATTTACGCTATATAAGATATTATTTTAATTGCTTGCTTGGCCGCAAGATGGCGTTTTTCGACATTACTTCAAACAACACCGATTTTTTCAAAAAATTTACAGAAGTGAAAATTTGAAGACAGGTTTTCAGTGCATGAGAAATCGTAATATGATAAAAACAATTTAACAAAAGACATTTTAAATAACAAATGGCCAATGGCATTTCAACTTCATATGTAATATGCAAAACATTTTTGAGTGTGCTTCTTTTTCAAAGAAATACAGGTTGATTTAAGTGTATCTGTAGATACACTATTAAAACACACTTCCTCGCGACTCGCCCTGTAGATTGCACGAAAATTATCACTCTTTTAGGTACAAAATATTGCACAAAAACAAATCGTCCCGTTACCTCACTTCACCACTAATAAATCAACTAAAACCAAAAAAACAAAAAACAACAAAATGCACATTCAATATGGCCGCCAAACGACGGCGTCGCCATTTTGCGCGGGCCCCCGCTGCCCCCCGTTCCCGCCCAACGCCCTATTGTGCCCGTCGTCCTGTCGAGCGGCCGCCGCCGCGCAAGTACCGTTATTACCCAACAACAAATCAGTACTACCGTTCACCATCTGCCTGCCGTTCCCCGTCGATATGTGATCCATCACCGTCTGCAGATCGTTGTGTTGCGCGTGCGCCGCGTGCGAGTGCAACGAGTGAAAGTTGTGCGTCTGGTTGTACAGCTGCGAGTACAACAAACCCGGCAGCACCGGGTAGATCGAGTTGTTGCAATTGTTGTAGCCGCCCTGCGCCTGCGCCGAGGCGGCCGCCGCCGCCGCCGCGGAGGCGTTCTGGTGCAGCGCGAAGTTCTGCTGGTGCAGCTCCTCCTGCACGGGGCTCTCCGCCGCGCTCGAATTGTCGGAGAGCGAGCGCGGCCCGGACAGCGCGAACTCGCCGCCGTGGTGGTTGCCCGACGACGGGTAGCGCGGCACCAGCAGCGCGTGGTTCGCGTGGTTCTGCGCCGACGTGGGCGCCAGGCCGAGGTGCTGGTCCAGCTCCGTCGACGGGGCGTCCGGTATCACTGCAAATTCAATTCACACCGATTTCACCTACTGCGAAACTTCGCCTCTATTCGCTACTAGTATACCACCCGAATAGAATGAATAGGAAAGACTTACGGGAGCCGATGGTGGAGGCGGTGGTGAAGGCATCTTGTGTCGTCGACTGTTCGGGCGTGCTGCCCGAGAAGCCGAGGGCGGGCGTGTTGAATTGGGCGGCGGGCGTCGAGCAGGAGCCCAACGCGCCGGGCGTGAAGTACGACGAGTAGCCCGCCGTGCTGTAGCCCCAATGGGAATTCGCCCCGCTCAGACCGAACTGGGGCATATCTGAAACGAGACAATCGATATATCATCAGCATTGCGATGAGAGATGATAAGATGAGATGAGGAGATTAGGAGATTAGGAGATTAGGAGATGAGGAGATGAGGAGATGAGGAGATTAGGAGATTAGGAGATGAGGAGATGAGGAGATGAGGAGATGAGAAGATGAGGAGATGAGGAGATGAGAAGATGAATGGATAATGATTAACAAGCTGCTAACGGGATGCGCCAAATATATAATAGATTCTAATAAGATACAGAGTAGATTTTCATTGTAGGTAGATTTAGAGTAGATTCAGAGTAGGTGTTAATAAAAATCAGAGTAGATTTTGTGTAGATTCAGAGTGGGTTCAGAGTTGTAGATTCAAAGTAGATTCATACTAGGTAGATTTACAGTAGATTCAGAGCACTACATTCAGTGTATATTCGAGTCAATTTAGACTCAATTGAGATTAGATTTAGAGATGAGTAGATGAGGAGATGAGGAGATGAGGAGATGAGGAGATGAGGAGATGAGGAGATGAGGAGATGAGGAGATGAGGGGATGAGGAGATGAGGAGATGAGGAGATGAGGAGATGAGGAGATGAGGAGATGAGGAGATGAGGAGATGAGGAGATGAGGAGATGAGGATGAAGAGATAAAAGGATAATGATTAACAAGCTGCTAACGGGATGTGCCAAATATATGGTGATCAAAGAGGATATAGGATGATAATGAGAGGTATAGGTAATAAAGGTAAGATGATAAACAAGCTGCTGATGAGGGATGATGAAGATATGATAATCAAAATGATGATGATGAGAGCTTATGAAGGTATGATGAAGGGATAATGATTAATAGGCCCCTTATGAGAGATGCTAGAAGATATGTATTAATGATATGAATGAATGATGATGAGAGGTAATGAAGGTATGATGATTAACAAGCTGCTGATTTGAAATGATGACGGTATGATGATCAAAAGGATGATGATGAGAGTTAAAGAAGGTATGAGGAAGGGATTAAGATAGGTACTAATGATCAAAAGGAATGATGAGAGGTAATGAAAGTATGATGATCAACAGTGTGGTATTTCAAAAAGCTATTATAGGCAATGATTTTATTAAAAGCAGTGTTGCCAACTTGTTGCTAGAGAATTAATTTACCAATGTATTTTATAAACAGTTTGAAATAAAATTGTGGAATGGTGGGCTTTAATAACGTTGTTGTTTCGTTTAATCGTGCATAGTGGAAACGTCCGTAAAAAATTCCAATTCGCCAATGCATGGAGTCAATTAGAGGAAAACCCTATTTGATAACCGAAAACAATAATGTTTGCATTTGATCGTTGTTAAACGCAAAAACCGTTCTAGATCAAAGTAAAAAGCGATTAATTCGTTTTTGCGGCACCGGAATGGATTCGATAACGAGCGCACCGTCCGGACCCGGATCGAATCGAACCGGATTTTACGCGAAACGACGAAAAAAAACATATTCGTTTCAAACAAGCTCGTGCAAATCCACAACATTAACAGTAGAAAAAGCGCAGTACTAAACTCTAAATTACTACATTGAATATTCTTTCTATCTTTGCGCGCGAATAAAGGAATTATCTCGGCGAGAAAAGATTAATCGACTGCATCGCAAATTTATGCGCGAAACAGATTAGACGCGAACACATTATTCGCCTGGAATATTCAAAACGCCTTTCACCCAGGGCTCTTGTGCAGCGGCGAGAGCGGAACAAAAACGCTTTACATTCAAATCGCGGGAGCGCCCGCGATGAATCCCTTCGCGTTGTTGCTGTTGTTGTCGAATGAATGAATGGGCTCCGGTTTTCATTTAGAAGCTGCCTCGTCGCGACCCCCGGGGGACGAATAAAACGGTTTTCCCTTAAATTAGACGGATGTATCCGGCATGCGGACGGCGTAATTTTCGAGCGTCATACTTTTACGAGCCGCGCTGATTCGCCCTGATTTATTATCGTCGAAACATTCCGACGGATATCCGACGATACAAGGATATATCGGCGACGTGGCAACGGCGCTTTTTTTATTTCGGCGCTAAAGGAACGCTTTGGCAAGAGAATGCATTGGCAATACTTTTTATGTAAAGTGCATTGGTAACAATTATAGCAAGAGTATATGCATTGGTAACCTTTTTTGGCAAGAGAATGCATTTTCTACCGTTAATGTTGTGGATTTGCAAGAGCTTTGTAATACTTTTGGCAAGAGAATGCATTTGCAATACTTTTGGCAGGAAAGTGCATTTGCAATACTTTTGGCAAGAGAATGCATTTGCAATACTTTTGGCAGGAAAGTGCATTTGCAATACTTTTGGCAAGAGAATGCTATTGCAATATTTTTAGCAAGAAAATGCATTTGCTACACTTTTAGCAAGAAAATGCATTGGTAACAATTTTGGCAAGTAGAAGCATTTGCAATATTTTTAGCAAGAAAATGCAATAGCAATAATTTTGGCAAGGGAATGCATTTGCAATATTATTAACAAGAAAATGAATTTGCTACACTTTTAGCAAGAGAATGCATTAGTAAAATTTTTGGCAAGTAGAAGCATTTGCAATATTTTTAGCAAGAAAATGCAATAGCAATAATTTTGGCAAGGGAATGCATTTGCAATATTATTAACAAGAAAATGAATTTGCTACACTTTTAGCAAGAGAATGCATTGGTAAAATTAAGACTGTTCTAAATGATGCTGGAGTAGTTTAAGTGACTGTGGAGAGTTCCAAATGATTCTGAAGCATTCAAAATGGTTCGAAACAGTTCTAAATTAATGATTCTGGAGCGTTCTAAACCGCTCTAAAGAGTTTTAATTGATTCTGGACCGTTCTAAATGACTATGGAGCGTTCTAAGACTGTTCTAAATGGTTCTGGATTATTTGAGGTGACTGTGGAGAGTTCCAAATGATTCTGAAGCGTTCCAAATGGTTCTACACAGTTCTAAATTAATGATTCTTAAGCGTTCTAAACCGCTCTTAAGAGTTCTAATTGATTCTGGAGCGTTTTAAATGACTATGAAGCGTTCTACATGATTCTGAAGAGTTCTAAATAATTCAGGCCGAGAACATTTCACTCTACCCTCGTATAGTTTTTCTTGCAAAATGCATTTGCTACAATTTTAGCAAGAGAATGCATTGGTAAAATTTTTGGCAAGTGGAAGCATTTGCAATATTTTTAGCATGAAAATGCATTAGCAATACTTTTGGCAAGAGAATGCATTTGCAATATTATTAGCAAGAAAATGAATTTGCTACACTTTCAGCAAGAAAATGCATTGGTAAAATTTTTGGCAAGTGGAAGCATTTGCAATAAATTTAGCAAGAAAATGCATTAGCAACACTTTTGGCAATAGAATATAAGTTAATGACACTGATTCTTCTTCGTTTCTATAATGTTTATGGAGCCAATTTCGGGTTGTTCAGGCGGATTCTGGGCAGCAAATAATCGAGTACTTACTATTACAATTTCCTATGGGAGGCATCCGGAATCCCGTCAGAGGATCGGAGGCGGCGAACGGGAACGGTCGCTGGCCGAAGGCGAAGTGGAACTGTTGCTGTTGCCCTAGAAGCGATAGCACTGATATTAGATTAATTACTGTCCGAATATTCGGTTAATTAGAAACGCAAAAAAAATAATAAAATAAACAAGCGTGTTCTCGCACATCCTTCCGATTCTGGTCTACTCTATAGTCCTATGCAAATACCGTTCGAAAACGGTCCTTTCAACGGGATATAGGAGAGATAGATATTCCGGAGGAACTGGCACTCGAAAGGGTTTCGGAACAGACACAGATGAGTTAGTTTTAATTAATTAATCAACCGATCCGATTCGCTAATTCCCCGTCCGGAGTGCTCTTCTTGCGAATTTAGGGAAATTCGACTCTGATGAATATTCACTTCATTAGTTCGAGACTAGATAAAATTTTTTTTTTGTCGCCAATTCCGCACACGTTCTAATCCGCGCGTCAATCTCTACCCCTTTAGTTTAATGACGTTATGACGTCACGACGTGAAATATTGAATGAACTATATGCGATTATTAAATGTATATACAAGGGTAAGGTGAAAAGTTCTCGGTCGATAATGAAAGAACAACAAAAATTACATTATTTTTCGTATTATGTCAAAATCTTTGGTGGTTCTAGACATTTCTAAATGATTCTGAAGCGTTCTAAACAGTTCTAAAGAGTTTTAATTGATTCTGGACCGTTCTAAATGACTATGGAGCGTTCTAAGACTGTTCTAAATGGTTCTGGAGTATTTGAGGTGACTGTGGAGAGTTCCAAATGATTCTAAAGCATTCAAAATGGTTCTAAACAGTTCTAAACTAATGATTCTGGAGCGTTCTAAGATAGTTCTAAATGATTCTGGAGTATTTTAAGTGACTGTGGAGAGTTCCAAATGATTTTGAAGCATTCAAAATGGTTCTAAACAGTTCTAAACTAATGATTCTGGAGCGTTCTAAACCGTTCTAAAGAGTTCTAATTGATTCTGGGCCGTTGTAAATGACTATGAAGCGTTCTAAATGATTCTGGAGAGTTCTAAATGATGAGGAAACGTTTTAGATTTTTCTAGATAGTTCTAAATGATTCAGGCCGAGAACTTTTCACTCTACCCTCGTATAGTGTTTCTTGCAAAGTTAGTTTAATAAATTTTATGAATTTAAATAGAAGAGAGTATATTGGCTTTGAAGTAAAATGTTTGTATAGTCATAAAAGCGTAAATTCTTTACATAAAATTTATTATCATCTTCATTGAGTTTCATCGTTATAAATCACACGGCTCATGTTACTCAAATAAAAGAACATGAGCCTCTATCTCGCTCTCATTTATACTCCGTTCGCCATCAGGAGAGAGCTATTAAACCTCTAATTTTGCCTCTGAAGACTTTAATCCAATTACATCCAAATTACAATCCAATTACAAACCTATCGCATTATACTCCGTTCGCTATCAAAAGAGGCAATTTTATTCCTCTACGAATCGGTATACCCCGTATACTACAATCATAATTTCATCGAATTATTAATTCAATAGCGCCTGTACTTTTTAAGTATATTAATTAGCGCGCCTATGGTTTGCTCTGTAGCGCTTCGAGAAGCTTCCATTACCATCTCCCGCTAGCGAACGGAGTATAATATAGCCGAGAAACATTAAGAAACCGCAAAACTTGTAACGGCAGATAGCGAGCAAGTTGCCCGGAACTTTGCGCCACTTTTAGCGCAGTTGTAGAGATATTAGTAGGCCCTTTCGACGCGCCCCGCTCGCCCCCCTTTCACCGCCCCCCCCCCCTTTAGTCGAGACTCAAACGAGACGACCGGAAAAACCTAAAATCGTTTAATTTTCGGAATTTTATCGTTCGGTTAGCGTCGCTTTGTACCGACCGAAAATTCCCCGGTTTTAATGGAGGCGTCTCGGCGCCAGCCGGTTTCGGAACTTTGTTTTATATATATATATATTATAAAAAGGGTCTCTTGCTCTATAAACTCCCGAGCGAAAGAGAAAAATCGGGGGCTTTGTAGAAACGCCGCACAAAGGGAATTTATCCGGCACAATTACTAAACGATATCCATTACATATACAAAGACATTGTAACTAAGAGACCAAATTGTTTACATTTTTTTTTTGTAGTAAGTCATTACATTTATGCATTCGCCCAAACACACACCCTGTATTATCGCAGGTTGCGACGTTGCCGGTTTTAGTTGCCTGTAACAATTATTTGAAAAAATTCCTTAAGGTTAAGTTATAAAGTAAAAATGATTTATTTCGTTCCAATACTGTTCAGGTTCATTAAGACATATAAAGACATCATAAAGACACTTTGTTTACAACGTTGCCAGTGGGTCATAACAGGTATATTTTTCTCTCTCCCACTCATTAGAAATTTTAAAACAACAGTCCACAAATACAGTGTGTCTACTTAAGTTCGCACCATATGGAAAACTTTTTTATTATTAATTTTACGAAAAAAAGTTAATCTTCATAAAAAGTTCTGCATGTTTTAAAACCTAAAATACAACCATCAGATAACAATTTTTTTAATCCGTATACGAGGTTTGTCAAAAAAATGTGTTTTTTGCTTAAGAGTAAAGTACCTTTATTTTTGAAAATATCGGAAATTGTTATTAAGAAAAGTTGATCAGGACTAAAATTACAATTACGTTCAAATATGTAATTACATCCAATTATAAGTAAGTAATCTATTTTTCTTCTTTAAACTATCAACACCTAGCAATGTTTTTATGTAGTCGATAATTATTGTAAAATAAATTATTTTGTTATCATTTATTTCAATGCATACTCAAACTAATGCAACATAGAGGTTAAGAGATGTAAATGTAATCAAATTTTTAACGAATAAAGAGATAACAGATAACAATTTCCAATATTTTCAAAAATAGATTTACTTTACATTTGAGCAAAAATCATATTTTCTGACAAACCTCGTATACGACTAAAAAAATTAGATATCTGATGATTGTATTTTAGGTTTTAAAACATGCAGAACTTTTTATGAAGAATAACTTTTTTTCGTAAAATTAATAATAAAAAAGTTTTCCATATGGTGCGAACTTAAGTAGACACACTGTATATGCGGGATTTATCATAGAAAAATTTAGTCTCTTAGTTGGAATGTCTTTGATTTCATAGAACAATTTATAAACAGTGCGTGTACTAATACACAACTTTTTTGACACACCCTGTATAAATATTTAAATTCCTCTTATAGAGCGTAATAGAATTGCGAGCGATCAATTAAATTAATCAAAGCAAAGGACGTTTAAATACGCGGGTTTGTAGAAGAAGGGGTTATTAATCAGGATTCCTGCCAAAGGAGTTAAGAAACGAAAACAACAGATTCCCGCTCTAAGGGGTTTATTAAAAGAGTGCTCGAGTGATTTATCGCCCCTTCGCCAGACGCACCGGTAAGAGAGCGCTTTCCTGCGGGCGCGCAACAGGTCCGCAGGGGGACCGAAAAATCTTTTGCGGCGAATGTTTTATTAAACGCTCCCGCGCCTCGCAGGACGGAAAAACTTTCCGATTCTTTCGCCCGCTTGTTTTTTTTTTTCGCCGCTTTCCTCGATTCGTCCTCTCCGCCGGCGACCGGCAAGTGTCAGGATTCCCACCCTAATCTAATACGTGTCAGCAGGAACCCGTCCAGCTGTCGAAGTATTTTCTAGCCGAGCCACTGCCAACTCCGGCTGTCGCCGACATTAATTAATATACACTCGCAGGAAATAATTGCGTTTCTGGCAGGACTGGTCGGTGTTCTCCTGCTCTAACGCGCGCCTCCTCCGCCCGATCGACCTACGTTCATATTAATTATTTTACACGCGCTCGTGACTAGTAAATCGAAATCGCGAACGAAAATGACGCGCGCGGGAATCCTGCCAACGGCAGGAATCGAATTGTTAAATTGGCTCCGAATCGGATATCTTACTCACTCGTTTTAGATCGAGGCTCTCTCGGTCCGTCCACGGTCACCTTTATCGCCTTGTTGTACGTCGCCACCTGCGGCGGATTCGTAGACACCATTATCGTCAACGTGAAGCTTTTTCCTGCAACAATAAACACCGCCGTAAATTGATACTCCAATCTGTAGATACTACAATAAATAGATACTCAAATAAATGGATACAACAATAAATAGATACTCCAATAAATGGATACAACAATAAATAGATACTCAAATAAATGGATACAACAATAAATAGATACTCAAATAAATGATTGCAACAATAAATAGATAATTCAATGAATGTATACAACAATAAATAGATACTTCAATGAATAGATGCATCAATAAATAGATACATAAATAAATAGATGCTCAAATAAATGAATTAAACAGTAAATAGATACAATGAATAGATACAACAATAAATAGATACTTCAATGAATAGATGCATCAATAAATAGATACATAAATAAATAGATACTCCAATAAATGGATACAACAATAAATAGATACTCAAATAAATGGTTGCAACAATAAATAGATAATTCAATGAATGGATACAACAATAAATAGATACTTCAATGAATAGATGCATTAATAAATAGATACAATAATAAATAGATACTTCAATGAATAGATGCATCAATAAATAGATACATAAATAAATAGATACTCCAATAAATGGATACTACAATAAATAGATACTCCAAATAAATGGATACAAAAATAAATAGATACTCAAATAAATGGTTGCAACAATAAATAGATAATTCAATGAATGGATACAACAATAAATAGATACTTCAATGAATAGATGCATTAATAAATAAATACAATAATAAATAGATACTTCAATGAATAGATGCATCAATAAATAGATACATAAATAAATAGATGCTCAAATATAAATGAATAAAACAGTAAATAGATACTCCAATGAATAGATACTCTAAGAAATAGATACGTCAATAAATGAATACTTCAATGAATAGATACATAAATAAATAGGTACTAGATACATCAATAACGAGATGCATCAATAAATAGATACTCCCTGTTAGTTTACTAAGTATAGATAATTAGAGTTTATTATAGCTGGTAATTGTATTCTACAATGTTTGACGTTAGAGGAAACAAAGTGAAGATATAAATGTTTTTGTCACGTTCGAAACGATATAAAACGCTCGTCGCGTTTCGGTTTGACGGGCGAAAGTTGGCGTGCGATCGTCGGCGGCGGGAAAAAGGGCGGCAAAATCGGGGGCGGCGGAGGAGGCGGCGGGTGTCCGGGGGCGGGGGAGGTGGGCATAACAGGCCGGGTGTACCGCAGGAGTGTCTGTGTGTGGGCCCGACGGTTAAACGCACGCACGGCGTCGTCGAAATCGGCGCCGCGACGCGTACCGACCGGCACCGCGACGCTTTCGTTATACTAAACGGACGTGTTAAAATTCAACCCGGTGTTTTTATGTTATTTATTTTCTATATGCACGTCAGAAATAATCGCTTGTATTTACCGCCCCTTTGGAAACTCTTTATAATGTAAACATAAACAATCTCCCTAGTTACTCCATAACAACCAATGTAAAACTGTCAAAAGTGAAAGAATCTCCTTGGTTACTCCATAACAACAATGTAAATCTGTCAGTTTGAAAGAATCTCTTTAGTTACTCCATAACAATAATGTAAAACTGTCAGTTTGAAAGAATCTCCTTAGTTACTCCATAACAACAATGTAAATCTGTCAATTTGAAAGAATCTCCTTAGTTACTCCATAACAACAATGTAAAACTGTCAAAAGTGAAAGAATCTCCTTAGTTACTCCATAACAACAATGTAAAACTGTCAAAAGTGAAAGAATCTCCTTAGTTACTCCATAACAACAATGTAAATCTGTCAATTTGAAAGAATCTCCTTAGTTACTCCATAACAACAATGTAAAACTGTCAAAAGTGAAAGAATCTCCTTAGTTACTCCATAACAACAATGTAAAACTGTCAGTTTGAAAGAATCTCCTTGGTTACTCCATAACAACAATGTAAATCTGTCAATTTGAAAGAATCTCCTTAGTTACTCCATAACAACAATGTAAAACTGTCAAAAGTGAAAGAATCTCCTTAGTTACTCCATAACAATAATGTAAAACTGTCAGTTTGAAAGAATCTCCTTGGTTACTCCATAACAACAATGTAAAACTGTCAATTTGAAAGAATATCCTTAGTTACTCCATAACAACAATGTAAATCTGTCAAAAGTGAAAGAATCTCCTTAGTTACTCCATAACAACAATGTAAAACTGTCAGTTTGAAAGAATCTCCTTGGTTACTCCATAACAACAATGTAAATCTGTCAATTTGAAAGAATCTCCTTAGTTACTCCATAACAACAATGTAAATCTGTCAAAAGTGAAAGAATCTCCTTAGTTACTCCATAACAACAACGTAAAACTGTCAACTGTCAAAAGTTGTATATCTACAGATTACACTCCAAAAACACACACGTATTACGTGAATTAATACACCGAGAAAAACAAATCGGGCGTCTAAACGAGTAGTAAAATAGAGAATATTAAGAATATTACTCGATTACGGGGTAGATACTTAAAATAAATCGATTATAATCGATGGAAATGTGGAGCGAGTATATCTAAATTATACATCGAATAACGCGGCGTATCGAAATCCGGGGAACCGGTTGATAATCCACTTTCATTATACAAGGACAACCCGGTATTGATATCCTCTAATTCCTCTAATGGTAAATTTTCCGTAAATCCCGCATTAATCATTCAAAAACCGAAGGGTTTCTCTGCGAACGTCGAGATTAAGATTTTCCACCTTAAGGAGGATCAATATGGGAACGTAATTAACGATAGAATTTCTATTATAATACCCTTTATTGATCTACGTTTAGATGAATAATGTAGAATAAATGCAGAGCGTGTAAAAATCGATTATTTATACTCCGTTCGCTATCAGCTATTGTGATAATTAATAGACGTAATAATTAGGAGTATTGTCAAAGGAAATGTAGAAAATGAAGAGGGATTAATTAGGAAATAAATTACAACGAGTATAAAATGTTTGTTAGAGGACTTTTGTAAAGAGAAGAAGCAATAATCAAGTATGTAATAACAAATTAGTTATTAACGAACGGACTATAGATAAAAATACACTATTACTTGATAGCGAACGAAGTATAAAAAAAAACAAAACAAAATTATGCAACCCGTTGGACAAACAAAGACGCGACCATACGAGTACACGAGCGTGCGAGAGAGAGAGAACCGAAACGTGTGTGTGCGGGCGGGCGTTTGAGGTGAAACACAAACCCTAATAGCGAGGGTTAAATACATCAAGTAGTGTGCATTTTTCACCGAAAAAGGCTCACCTACACGCCTAATGGAATCCGCAATCTCATTAAGCGGCACCGAACGAAATCTGTATGAGGAAAAAAAAGGGCTCTCGTGTGGTTATCCTCTTCTGATCCGCGCGGTATCGCGTACTGGGTAATTTTTACGCGCCATAGACGTGCCTGGAAATATTCTATTTTATCTATATTACTCCCTATTTACAGGGTGTCTACTTAAGTTGGCAACATATGGGAAACTTTTTTATTATAAATTTTAGGAAAAAATGTTATTCTTCATAAAAAGTTCTGCATGATCTGAAACCGTAGAAACAATCATCAAATATCAATTTTTTTTTATTCGTATACGAGGTTTGTCGAAAAATCTGATTGTAAACATAAATGTTTCATTCCGTCCAGAATGTAATAAACAAATTTTTACAAAACAAAATTTATTACACATCTAATGAATACACAATTAAAATAAAAATTATTTCAAGAACAATGTTTATTACACATCAACTGTTCAATAAAAATAAGAGATTACTGTTTATTATTAATTATTGATAATAGTTAAAAGATAATTCAAAAAACATGTATCACTTAATATGCAAACTTAGACATTACTTAAATTTCTAATGATTAAAAAATAAGTTGAGGTAGATGGATCTGATTACATTGTTCTTGAAATTATTTTAATTTTAATTATGTATTCATTAGATGTGTAATAAACATTGTTCTTGAAATTACTATGCCAACTTAAGTAGACACGCTGTATACAGGGTGGAAACGCCAAATAGAATAAATTCATTATTTCGGTTAGAGAATATATTCACAGAAAGTTCCGAAACACGTCAAATTTTAATTGTAATTTGACATTTCTCAACGTAAAATGAGTTTAACCCCCTTCGAATGACAGTTTCAACCCCTATTTTTTTAAATTGAAAGTATAGGCTTGTAATATATCGTTTGAAAGGTCTGTTCATTCTCTATCCAAAAATGTTATTGTTTTCCAATTTATTTCAAAAATTAACGTTAAAAAATCTTATTTCCCGTTTTAGCATTAATAATAAGACTAGTTTGTTTAAAAGGCTTTAGCAAATTGGTTTGTAACTATTAACTGCGTTAGAATAGTCTTCGGTGTTATAATTTTTGTTTGAATTTCGTTTATAGCAATTAAGAAAAATAGTTAGATTAAGAGAAATGCATAAAATAACAGTTTTGGTGAGAAGATTAATATTTTTTTTACATTGTGAATAATTAGGTATTACATACTGAGTGTATTATATCGAATTTAAGCCATCAGATGATTTTATTTTTATGTTCATTTTTGAAAAAAACAACTTGAATATAATAACAGTTTTGAATAGAGAATAAAGAGACATTTTAAACTATATATCACAAGCCTATACTTCTATAAATATGTTCACTAAGCGAAATAATGAATTTATTCGCGAATTTATTAAATGACAATGTCGCGTTATTATTAAATAACGCAGCAAAAATAATAAGATTAATATTATTTAATTTTTTTATTCGGGTAAGAAACGCTCCCGCCGCTGGCGCGATTTCGCTCCGCCCGCGAAATTGCTGTATGAAAGGGTTCGGTTCCTTTTTTTTCATTTTCCTGCGGATTTCAATCCCTTTTCAGACCGATGAAAAGTGAGGAAATCAAGAACGATCAAAGGGTTGCGTTTTCAAAGGGAAAAACCCCGACCCGTCGCAGGATTTAAAAGTCTACGCGCCCGGAAAACTCCG